CCCACTAAATGGCTCAGCAGGTGAAGGCACTGGTCTACAGCAATTTTGTCTGAACTGATATCTCCATCATAGAGGGAAACTTGTTAAGACATAGGATATGTCATAGTTTGGCTTCTGTTGCTGTGACAAACACTTGGGGAAGGAAAGGTTAGCTTCACCCTACACTGTCCTTCCTGAGGAAACAGTGCTGCAGCAGAGGTAATGGAGGAATGCTGCTTAATGACTCAACTTCTTGCTTGCTCAGTAGACATTTGTACTTGGCACAGGACCACCTGGCCTGGGTTGGCACCACCCATAATAGGTGTGGCCCTTCAGTATCAATCATGTTTTCCCAGGAAGAAATTCACAGGGCAAGGGAAAGAAAACTAGCCCACTCCAGCATGTCTGACAGGCCTTGCCCTTCTCCCCTATGCCCTCTGCCTTGATAAAAACTGTTTCATTGTATTCCTGAAGCCCCTGGTTTCCATTCCCTTATCTGGCCAATACTTCCTCTTGATGCTGACTGCCAATGGCCAGCTAAGAAAATACTGAAACCCAGAAATCAAAGCCCCCTTTGGCTCACCTAATTAACATGCCAAATTAAAATTAATTACCTCTTCCTAACAGGGGTTTTCCTTTATAAACTGTCATGTTCCTATGTGCCACATCTGTCTCCTCTCTATCCAGAGACAGTCCTCTGTCTTCAGGCACAAATACCCTGACTCCTTTCCCTTGTTCCCTTCCCCTTCTCCCTCTTCATCTATCTCCTGTTTTGCCCCTTATCTTTGTGCTCTATCCATCTGGGGCAAATAAATCTCCTTTGTGCTGAGAACTTGATATAAGAATTTTAGGTCAGGGCATGCCTTTAATCCCAGCACTCGGGAGGCAGAGGCAGGAGGATCTCTGTGAGTTCAAGGCCAACCTAGTCTCCAGAGCCAGTGCCATGATAGGCTCCAAAGCTACACAGAGAAATCCTGTCTCAAAAAACCAAAAAGAAAAAAAGAAAACTAAGAATTTTGTCTTTGGGGTCCTGAGTCTATATTTTCCCTTTCAACAGGCACCTACCATCAATCCTGATGTCCTGAATCCAACTGCAGGGTTACATATGGTAGAAAGATAGAAGACAATCCTAAATGTTACC